TAAGATATCGTATGCCACTTTGCGCGCGGAAAGTTTGCAGTATGTAGAGTTTAACCTCTAAATGTAAATGCAACTGCAGATGGGAACAAAAATTATGACTGAATAGAAAATCTTTTTAAAACCTAAATATAAATTTGAATAAGGCGTGAGCTGCTATCAGATTACAAAAAAGGAAAACCTTTGCTATTTGTACTGCTAAAATATATTTGAATATATAAGGACGTCGAAAATTAATAGAAATCATGCATCCTAATTAAGCAGTAATTTTTGTTTTTTGCGGCTTTTGTAGGCGGTCAAAATGATGTACAGTTAAAAGGCAGCCTCCTGTCGTGTGCTAAATATTTGGGGATTATGCTGCAAGACAGTGGCTATTAAAATCCAACTCAAGGAGGGAGAGAGGGATGCTGAGAGGTTCTGTTCTTATCGTTGCCCAACATTTGTGCTGTCTCCCCAACCTTGAGCACATAGCCTAACCTCTGTGTCACCAGACACGTGTATGCATAGGCTTTTCTGATTACAACTTCACATCCTACGGTCACGATCGCCACATACGTAACCTCTGTGTTAAGCTAAGTCTGCACTTGCCGGCTAGTACTAAACCCCATGCGCCACCATTATGGCAATCGGGCATCACACTTAGCTCTCATCCGGGTTAAAGGAGATCACTCCCTTATGTCTATACTATAACGGTTTGGCTGCTGCGACCGAGTAGATGCAGCACCGATAATTTGCGCGTTGATTGGTTGATAATGACGCAGAATTGCGCGGCATCTACCGCACCCTCTCCTTTCTCATCCACGAAGCTTCGATAGCTACCCGAGGGCCGGCGGCGGCGCAGGCACAGTTCTCGCGAGGCTGGTCCTGCAATTTTCTAAGCCCCCTTCCCGCTCCCCCTTGATGCCGAACAAATAGTTCTATCCCGGCGGAAGTCAGACAGTTTTGAGTGGCAGGCAGTGGCGAGCAGGAACTTAGAAGAATCCGGGACCTGCTTCACGAAAACGGGCATCCTGAAGGTTTAATGCCTAGGCTTTTGGCGAGAAACGGGAAGAACCCAGGACACTGACTACAAAAAATAAACCTTTATTCCTTAAACTCCCATTCCCACGGAAAAGGGGGGCTGTGAATGAATTTCTGAGAAGCCGCACTGCTCGCGCTCTTCTATAAACCTCTCCAACAACAAGCACTCTGATATAACTCTATAAAAACCCTATTTTAGGCGAGGAGGTTAAGGATAAATTGCTAACACAGATCATCTCAGTGTCTATTTGCTCCTTCACTTGCCAGTTTGCGGCGGTTTTTTATCGGTAGCGCGAGCCGGAGTCTTTTCAAAAAGAAATACGAAAACACCTACCGGAATGGCCAGGTCAAGGTGAAAATACGAAAAGTAACAGCTCCATTTACGCATATCTTGTGGATTCCGGGTATCACGTAGGTCCCACCATTAGATCGGCGTCTGATGGTGGCAAACGTAGTCGCCATCAGGTTATGAAGGCTGGTCTTATGTGCAGAAGTTCAAAGCTTCCCGAAGTCATTGATTGAGTAACTGCCTGCGACGCTCTCTGGCAGTGAACTTTCATAACGCTGCCCCTTTTTACTCCGCCCTCCCCTATATTCTCCCATCTCACCGGTGTTCTAAGATAAAATTTAATTGATCTCTCAAATTATTGACATTTTACTCGGTCCCTTTCACATATAAATGTATTTTCCTAGCGATAGTTTGTGGAAAGCAAACGAAAGTCCGCTAACTAGTTTTCTGAAACCTGCTAACAGACTTCAAACTAAGGTCGTCTTTGTGTGTGCGAGGATTGCTGTTAGCAAGTAGAAAAAGTCTCTTGGAACTCACGAAGCGGGATAAATAAAATTTCCAGTTACTCCTGCTTTCAACGTCAGACAACGCATTTACGGCCCCTTTTTAGGTTCAAGACGACAGAAGATTCATCATGTGGATGCAAAATCGATTAAACATATGTTCCAGCTCTTTCAAAATGCA